CCAGTCATCGCCCCATTAGCCTCCTCAAGGCCATGGGCAAGCTCTTCGAAAGAGTCATCCAAACTCGCATAAGGCGCCATCTGTTTCCCACAGACGGTGACCCTCATATCATCCCCCATCAATTCGGTTTCCGAGCGAAACACTCTTGTCCCCAACAAGTTCACCGTATTGTGGAATATATCCTCAGCGGTTTTTATCCTCGTCGTCATAAGACCATTGCGGTCTTTTCGACATAGCTAAAGCCTTTGATAGAGTCTGGCATGAAGGCATTATCTACAAATTATACAAAATAGGTCTCCCCGATCGTCTAGTACGTCTCGTGGCCTCTTATCTAAAGCATCGTATCTTTCGTTTTAGACACGAAGGCACGCTATCTTCTCAGCGCCCCATCAAAGCTGGTGTCCCTCAGGGCTCAGTACTTGCTCCTCTCCTGTACATTTTGTTCACCAACGACATTCCCATCCCGTCGAAAGGTGTTCAGCTATCCCTCTTCACAGATGACACTGCCCTATACTGTAAAGGTATCTCGCTACCTTTCATACGGAACAAAATCCAAGTCAGTTTATGACCTAGGAGCTTGGTTCAAAAAATGGCGCATCGATGTGAACCCGGAGAAGAGCTCCGCCGTTCACTTCGATTATAAACGACGCCGACTCAAAAACACTCCACCAATACGTATGCTAGGGACCCCTGTCCCCTGGCATACGACTGCCAAATATTTAGGCGTCACCCTTGACACGAGGCTCACTTTCAGGTCCCACGTCAAAAGAGTAACCCGTCACGCACGTTTTTACCTGGGTAGGCTGGGTAACAGTATGTTGGGCCGACACAGTAAAATGTCCCTCAGAAACAAGCGTACCCTTTATAAGGTCTGTATACGACCAGTCATGTCCTACGCGGGCCCCATTTTTGCCCACGCTGACCCTAAAATTATTAATGAACTCCAAGTAGTTCAAAACCTCTTCTGTCGTCGAGCTACGAACGCACCTTGGTACGTCCGTAATGCCGACCTTCATCGGGGCTTAGAGCTCCCTACAATCCAACAATTTCTTAAACAACTCTGAGAACTTCTTCAAAGCCTCAGAGTCGCATTCCAATCATTTTATTCGTGAGGCAGCTAATTATGCAGACCCCTCCCCTCCCGCTATAGCGTCCACAGGCCGAGGAACTACCTTTTGGACCCGCCTAATAAACTTTCAAACGACCTGAACTGCCTCCTGCGGCTCAGACCAACTCTAATAAAATTATTCATAATTAATTCGCCTTCGACGGTTTTAGAGGGTATCACTTAGGTTCCCCCGGTAGGCAGTGAGTCCCTCATAACCACGATAGACCGGCTGTCGTGGTATGCGTAATGCATTTCCGCCTCCCTACATAAAGGGTAGCCCTTTTCCAACTGCTTCGGGCGCAAAGAAAAAAAAAGTCTGTGAGGTGATCATTTCTGAAGCAGCACTCGAAAACAACAAGAGAAGAAACCTCAAGAGAAGAAGCATCAAGAGAAATCGAGAGATACTCCATTGAAGACTCCCCTCTGTGTATATAGTTAATTAGTGAAAGCCGCATTTGTAAATAGTTTAATACAGTATAGTTCTACAGTACCATCTTTTCTTTGAGCAGTCCCCTAGCGTAGTAATTAGTCAGTCAACCAGTTATATACATTAAATTCATACAGTCCACTACAATCCCTTATAATTATTTTGAAATAGATATGTGATGAGAAGAACCCATTACTGTTATGTAGGTACGTAGGTAGTTAGCGAGAATTATAATATAATATTTCAATTGCACTGTCTTATGATATGTAATCATTTGAAGTGGGGTTCCATAAAATAAAAGGGAAGTGGTGAGTATTCCATTACCATAATAGTTTGGGAACCCCTGCTCTACACTCACCATACGAAATGCAGCAGCATTATGCTGCTATTTCACGCTAATATTCGGTGCAAGCATAACCATTAGATACCATACCCATTAGTGCTGCAGCCATAGTACGCTACTCCACAAATGGACCACGTAGAGGGACATAGTTATAACACACCGAAGCCTAGATAATGCTATAAAAGTTCCCATAGTACCCCGGTATGTATAAAATAGCTCCATACTACAACACAGGAATTTCACTAACCAACACACTCAGCATTGAAAAAATCTAGTAGACTGTAGAGAAGCTAGGGACGCCCTGCCTGAAATAAACAGTTGAGTTTGAACAAGCCGCAGAAGAGAACAGTAACAAGTGATATCATAGAACACCACACCTTTAACAAACATTTATTTACCATACGTGTTACAGATGTCCCCTGTGCAGGGCATGTATGGGGGAGGAAGAAACGGCTGTCCTGTGTTGCTGACATGTTCGGAGGTCGCTGCATACAGGGCTAAACATCTCGGCACGCCGGGATCAGTCCCGGATGTTACTCGGAACATCAAAGAACTGTTGAACTTTTTCGGGGAGATTTCATCGCTCGAATAATTGGATTATTCCTGCCTACACACGCAAAATAGGGCGTTAAGTTGCGGAAAACTGCCCGTCGTTATCTATCTATCTATCTATCTATCTACAACACAGGCTGAACAGCTTGCCCGGCACAGTTCTAGTAATATTGTAAAACTAGCGACACGTCTTACTGAGATTTTTAATCATCATTTACCATTCTTTCTATTTTGCAAAAATATATTAAGTAATGGATGGATTATAATTATGGAGTATGCTTACAAAGATAACATTCTTTTACATTATCTGTATTTAATGTGTAACATTTTATTATATTTAATGATGAAACAAGTTTATTGCTGAATAATAATATTACACATGATAAAACATATCAACTTACACATTTAAACACTTGGAAGATTTAGATAAAGAAAACATTTTATTAGCACTATATAAATACTATATTAAGAAGATAACAATCACATGTTAATAATAAAATATTAAAAAATAATTCTTATATAAATAAGCTTTTTTATCATGTAGTTATTATGATATCCACTTGATTATGGTTTATATGAGTTTATTACCATTTGTTAGTTGCATTGGAGAATAGATTCGATTGAGTCGACTTGGGGATTTGCTGGAATAATAATAATAATAATGTCCTCCAGATTAGAGTTGCAACAATTTATCGGCAAACTGATAATAATGAGTACAACTAATTTTACGGACTGTGTTTAATGTGTAGTGTTCACGTAAATATAAGAAATCATTAGATAACATTAAAGCTAAAATACCAATAATTTTTTCAAGATCATTCAGTTTGGAGGTCATTACTTTTCTTTTTTATAGAAGAGGACAAATGGCACGAAGACAACCCAATTTTGTGAATTTTTACTGTGGGCTTGGACTATTATGAAACAACACCAAAGATATTGGCATATCAGCTATAAGCTGCTTGTCTATAGCTACATAATAATAATAATAATAATTCAGACTGCTAACCAAGCTAGTATTATAGAGTAAGCTTGGAAAGTATTTATTTATTCCTTCATTCACAGCTGAACATATCCTCCCCCACAGATTGCCTCTTTAGGGGGATTTTGACACAACTACCATGCTTGACAGGCCAGATGGCGATCGGTTTTTTATTATTTTGAGTTGTTATCGGGAAGATTCTGCTGCCCAACTCCTATTTCAGCTTCTGTCCATTGTCACTTACGAAACCTATGGCATTATACACAGTAGTGGATATTCTTACACTGTAACCACACAGCAAATATAATAGTGGGAACACATACTAGGATGAAGAAAACAGCATAATGGTGCTATGTTTTGTATGTTCAGTAAATGACAATAACTAGAAATCTTTTTCACAGGAAACAAGGCATTCCATCTTAGTCCCTAGATAATATATATCACATTTTTTTGGGAAAATACATAAAAAAATGTTGTTATTTGTAATATCTATATGAGGACACAGTCCACATGATGATAAGGTCATACAGTGGTCTAATAGACATCTACATCCATCCCTTAGTTAAGAATATAAATGTAGATGCAATGTTATCAATGAGAATTAAGATGGAATACCTTGTTACCAGCATTAAACTGCTACTTAACGCTGGTATTCTTTGCAAGTGTTTTCCTTCACTGGTCGAGCCAACCCATGAATGCTACCATAATCATAATTTATTGTAGCATGGCTTTAGCACATAGTGAATGGATCTACCATGTAGTCATAGTCTGAGTATTAAATTAATCATTATTGAATAAATATGAAACTAAGACTTTATATGACCTCCTTTTTATACATGGTAGAGCCATGTTGCAACTATAATATTACAGTTGTGGCACGAATGGATCAGCTCGTCTGGGATATGACCATGCTCTCACTGAATACCAGCATAAAATATCAGCTTAATGCTGCTGTATTTTGTATAGTGAGTGTAGAGAACCAGAGACCCTTTTTACTGGAAACAAGGCATTTTATCTTAGTCCTCAGGGGTGACAACGCATCTGCATTTCGTTTCTTTAATGAGGATAGGTGTAGATGTCTATGGGTCACAGCAACCACTTACCATCAGGTGGACTGTGTGCTCGTTTGTCACCCGATCCTATAAAAAAAAGCATGATAAAGCATCTTCATTTTCATTCTTAATCGAAGATAAATGTAGATGTTCCCAGCATCCATTATAAAAAAAAAATATTTTCCTCACTCCATTAAAAAATATTACCATTACTGTAATTCATTATTTTTCTATTAAATATGTAAGCAATTTAAGTGAAGCTTATGCAGATGAAATGGTGCCAACATAGTACAATATATTCTTCATTCTTCTTTTATTTAATGATAAATCATTATAAACACACATAAAAGTCCTAGTTATCATCAATTACCTAATTACACTTACAATTAAAGACTAACCAGGAAAATGTGAGTTTTTTTTTAATCAAACTGTTAACATTTTAGTATTAATAGTATTAAAAAAAGTAGATGTTATGTATCTAGATTCTAGCAGAAAACATTGTGTAAAAAGGAAGATTGAAGATAGTAGTACCTACTTACCAGCAAAAAAGAAAAAAAAATGCGCTTTTATGGGCAAAAGCCCTTTGTCGATTTTGAACTTCATGACGGCGACAATAAAGTAACAATTAAAATTTAGTATTTCAGGACACTACATCACTCTTTATCTGTATGTATTGACTCTTGATTTAACGTTTCGTTCGGCACACTTAATAAACTTAACGTGGTGACGTCGTTTCTTTCTATTTTTGTTTCGTATCGCATAAAATTATAATAAGATTATCAGACTAACAATACTAATGTTATTGTTTACAAGACAATCCCCTATATATAATGTACTCTGTGCCTGTAGCTTGCTACATATATATTTATCTATGCTCTGTGCAAGACAACCACAGAATCAAAGAGTTAGTCAATTAGGAACTGTCAGAAGTCAGAACTTTCCTATATCAATTGTCAGCATAGACTACTAGAAAAAATTGTCAGCATAGAGATATATACCTATGGAGAGGGCAAATTGCACTATAGAAATAATAGTTATACAAATATCTATAATATCGACACACACTTGTCAAAAACAGTTTTGTCTCTTTTTAACAAAGCAGTAGCTGCAATTGAAAAGAGAGACATCTACAGTTTGTAAAGTGCTTATTTTGGTAATATTTTCGTGTGACGTCATTAGCTCATCCTTGCGTGACTGCGCCGCCATGTTAAGCGCCAAGTTTTGAGGTAGATCTGCTGTCATACTGTCAAAAAAGCAGTGAAATAGTGTCGTACACTCTTATCCATGGTGTCGATAGAAATTATTTTAATAAATTAATTTTGTTCAGAACTGAATGTATAATATTAATAATAGTTTATAAATCCTGGATATCATATTTCATCCACCGTTTCATGATCATGCCAGATTTCCGAATTTTAAATGAACATAATTAATGTTCCTGCTAAAATAATAATATTTATTATTTAAAATCTGAATAAAAAAAATTAAATGCTTATATAACTTACCATTTGTGATCAATTATGTGTAGAACGTTCCTATATACCAATTAATAATAAATAAGTATTGATTTTAAAAACAGTTTATTTAAATTTTACTCAACTAATCATTATTATTTTATATTAAAAATATTATAATATGGGATTACAATATAGAATCAAGGATCTCCATCCCATCTCCATACATTTGTTTACTGTACAATATTATTGTACAGTAAACAAAGGTATTTGGTATACAAGCAAAAATATTCCTTTTCCTACTACTCTGTCAATATTCATTTTTATTGTGTGCGTTATAACTTTTTAACTTTGTTCACATTGATATAAGACAAAACGTGTGTGTGTGTGTACTTATGTACGCACGTAAGAAGTTATACTTCTTTAGCGTAACAAAACAAAAATAACTAAAATAAAACACGTTTTATACATTCATATATATTTGAATATAGTTATCAGTTCTCAGGAAAACAACAATTGACAGACGTTACCAATTCAAATTGTAAAAAATTCACTTTCATCATTTTTCTCAAACGCGTCAAAAGAAGTATAACTTCAAAACTTGAGTAAGCACTTAGCACACTCAGAACATTGTTTAAAACAAGTTGCAAGTTAGCTGCCTGCATACTTAACTCATTGTTTGACTGTGTACCTAACACAAAGAATCTGTAGCAGAGTGTGCATTGCTTAAGTGTACATATGCGGTGAAGCCTCGTGAAGCAGCTCAAGCGAAATTTAAGGGATAGCAATCCAAAACTAATTTAACAACCCAACAATATCCATTGCTTAATGTGATTGAAAAATTCATTTGCTTGACAACAAAAACCACGCAATGGATGTTGTTAAACTATCAAATTGGTATGGTTTGCCATTTTAGGTGTGTTACGCAATTAGGCTATAGATTTATTTCTATAAATATATGAAATAAGAACAAACTTATATTAGTAAAAATATCGATATCAGCTGCCCATATTGCTGATTTACAACCGTATAAATGGCGGCCATTTTATGTGCCCGATTTGTTTAGGTAGTCACGCTAATTCTTTTGGTATGCCCAGTCCATATACTTTTAAGTCAGTGATTGTCAGAATACATTTGAAGTTTAGAATATGGAGTGTAGAGTAGAAGGAGGACCATCTCTGTATATGAAAAGTGTCCCTAAAAACGCGTCCAATAAGGGTGGCGCTGCAGTAGCATAGGATAAATTAAAAAAAGAGCGCCAAAATTTATTAGAATAAGATGGAGAAATAAACAAGGACCGACCAATCCGCTTGGGTTTGTACTACGTGAATAGTTGAGGTTTTGTATACTGGCATTTTACTAACTACTCTAGTCATGAAATTTTTTAAATATTTTAATTCAACTGACTTCACTCCGTCTACAACAGCTATATTCATATCGTAGTTTTTCAGGCGCCAGCGCTATTGTGGTAGGTTTTGGAACCTCTATTTTCAGTATATATTGGGACACTTTTTCAACTTTCGCACCTTATAAGATAGTTCTCCTTCTACTCTACACTCCATAGTTTAGAAGACAACACAAGTGTCAACGTCAAGCGATTTTTTTTTATTGGAATTTATGGCCTGGTATCTAGACCAAACGTCAAGCGATTTTTTTTGCAGTTTATGGCCTGTCTTAAGTATTTTTATTCGGTTTATTGTAATTTCCTCACTCCTTCATAGTATACTGCTTCACAATATGTTGATGCGTCACATTGTGCAGTTCTTGGGAGATTTTGGCGGCAACTTAATCCAGCAGACAGCTGATAGTTGGCGATGGTATCTAAAGGTGCCTATGCAAACAAACAGCTTATCTTGAGAATCCATCACCATCAGAGCACTTGTTTCACTGTTTCCACTAATAGTTCACATGCGTAGACACTTAATACACAAAATCGCAACACTTTTACATATCAAAGTCCACTTCAAACCATTATTTAAACAATAATACAGGAGCAGCAAACCGCCGCCGGTCAATTTCCCGCCAAAACTCCAAAAAAAAAAACGTCAAGCGATAAAATAACCAGTGTTACCAACTCAAATTTTTCGAAATCCGTAGATTGGTATGAAATTTTCCGTTGAATTCCGTACACTGCTATTTCAAAATATCCGTAGATCTGCAGATTTCTTAATCGGATCGAAAATTGTTGTTTTTGTCAAAGAATAGATCCATTTTTTGGAAAAATTCTTTGTCATGTAAAATTCTTATTGTAAATTCAATTGTAGTATAATGGCTGATTTACTCAGGGTGGTCAGTGCTGACCTGAGACTGTCATAGTGTAATTTGATTTGGAATCAGTACAGCCGGGCTATTCACAATCGTCTCGGAAAGCGAAATCGACTCGGATTCGATAACTTCTCTCACCGAAACCAATAAACGCTATTCACATTTAATGTTCGGATAAAGGTCACTTAGATACATCCTTTAACTATTGTATCGTCATTTAGTTACATGCATTTACGAATTTTGTAGATAAATAGGCTTTTGTATTTTTTTAGAGTAACGCCTGAACAAAAACATAATGCAATATTTTGGAGTTAGCCATTGATATCGAATATAAAAAATACATAATTTAACTATATAATAAATAACAAAAACACTGAGATATGTCTCGTTTCTGTCGGGTCTGGGTTTTTTTCTATGGGGCATGACCCTACTTCTTTGACGTTTGTTTTCGATAATTGTGAGTTTGCATCGGAAACTTCACGAGAGCTCTGAGGCTGGCGAAAACTTTTAGAATATTAATGATTAGAAGAGATAAATAAACCCTTTTAATTATAAGGTAGGTAACAAAAATTAATTACAATTATCTATAAGACGTATTTTCATATACTCTCATATACTTCAATATTTGCACTTAATCGTTTTTATAAGTTTTCTATCACAAAGCAGCTTATATATATATATATATATATATATATATATATATATATATATATATATATATATATATATATGCTGCTTTGTGAAACGAGACATATCTCAGTTTTTTTGTTATTTATTATATAGTTAAATTATATATTTTTTATATTCGATATCAATGGCTAACACCAAAATATTGCATTATGTTTTTGTTCAGGCGTTACTCTAAAAAAATACAAAAGCCTATTTATCTATAAAATTCGTAAATGCATGTAACTAAATGACGATACAATAGTTATGGGATGTATCTAAGTGACCTTTATCCGAACGTTAAATGTGAATAGCGTTTATTGGTTTCGGTGCGAGAAGTTATCGAATCCGAGTCGATTTCGCTTTCCGAGACGATTGTGAATAGCCTGGCCTTCAATATTCCTGCTTGAATATTTTGAAGTCACTCCACTCCCCACGCGACCTGTGCCAGCGGTATTGATCTTCTCTAAACGACCATGGCAGTCAGTACTTGGTCAGTCACTGGCGCTGCGTTGTAGGGTGACGTCATGTCTACAACAAAGCAGAACCTCCAGTTTCTTTTCTGTCGTCTATCCATTTTCTTATCCAAAGTCGTTTCTTTTTATATATCTCTTCTTCTAACATTCCGTCAAATCTCTCAACAGCAGATAGAAACATTTTCTCAACTAATATTTCAATAGTTGTAAATTCTTCCGTTCATTTTTGCTCACTGATTTCAACAACGTGCGCATACCCGCAAGAAGTTGCCACGATTACTGACTGCATGTAAATAGTGCGAGTCAGTCCTCGGCGCCACTACTGACGCCTGGTGCTGGCCCTGTGTAAATCAGCATTTACATATCAAGCTGCACATATTAAAAAAAGTACCATAATAATTGATTAAAACTAAATTGAATAAAACTACTTTTACCGATTCTATCGCGTTTCATTAACTCATTTTTATTAATTCCCGACTTTCGGGTGCTTTACAGCACCTATGGTCACGGGGGCCTGACGTGATTGACGTCCCGATGTCAGAGTTAACCCGGAGTACCTTCAGCTTTTTTAATTATTAATTTTGGTCCGATCTACGCAGAATGAACTTACTGGGTCTTGAAATCTTGCAGTGGTATGCTTGGGTTTTGTTTTAATCTTATTAATTACAGGATCGCAAGCAGGTGGTAGTACCCAGCCTCCCTCTCTATTGAAATTAGTATGTTTCTTAATTTCAATAGCCTCACGTATCATCTTTGGCAGGAATGTTCTTTCGCGAGATTTTGTGGTTTATCAAATCTAATGTAATGGCAGGGGCCGACTGGGATATGATCACAAACTGCAGACTTCCCGGAACGTTGGTTTTTCACGTCAGCTATATGCTCTTTTACGCGGGTTTTTACTGATCATTTTGTTTGCCTTATATATGAGAGACCACATTCACAATCAAGCTTGTACACTCTTGCATCTTCTATAGGAATATTGCACTTAACGGAGGGTGAGAACTGACTAATCTTTTTCGGCGGCGTGAAGAATGTTCTAATAGAAGCTCGCTTCTATTAGGACCAACTGCTATTTTAAATAAAATCATCTTCTTCTGATGAATCATTTTTGTCAACATCATTATCGAATAGAATAGAATATAATATTTTTTATTCAATATACATGAATGTAATTCTTAATGAAAGTAAGTTTATACTTTTTCCACTGCTTTGGAAATCATTATCATCAGTTTCCATCATCATTGTTACAATTGTATCACAAAATTTGCATTTCGCCACTTGACCCGTAGTTACTTTCAATAACCTGGGACCAATTCTTTAAATGTGGGTCTTGATGCCGAAAATACCGAAATTTTTCGTATTATGTGGTTTCGGCATAATGAGTTTAGAACTCGCGAAAAGAGTATGACCTTGACCTTAGAGAGCTACTATAAATATAATATTTTGTACGAGGAATCTCAACGAATATTGGAATGGATCGTCTGACATCATGTCATGTCTGTCGAATCAGCACTGTCTACACAGTAAAAGTAAATACTTCTGATATGAAGTACAAATATATTTCGAAAAGTATAAGTGGTTTATTGGTTGAGTGATTATCTTTCCACTAATTGAAACTGAATTCTACTGAACCATTAAGGTCGGAGTAGGAGTTAACTAAAGTAGGAGGTCGTAACCACCAGTTTTAGTGGAAAATCCGCGTTGGTCACACTAACGAGCGATGACATTTAATTTGTGACAATGACAGCTGTCAACAATTTAAATTTTTCTTATATTATAAATATATTATATATTTATATAGATATATATATTATGTATATATATATATACACACACACACATATATATATATATATATATATATATATATATATATATATATATATATATATATATATAATATTTTTGTAGTGATGTTACAAAATTAACGTTATCTGACGTTATACTATACAATAATGCCTTTTTTTCTCTCATATATGGTTATTATTCGAGGAATTAATACATTAATAGGACCAAATTTCTGGCATCTTTGAAAGCAGCTGATTTGTTTGCGGGAGGTATAACTAATTTAAACAAAATTTTAAAATATATTGGTTTACAATATAAAAAACAAGTAAAGAAAGTTCTTTTAAAACGTGATGAAATAATTAAAAAAAATGGTGATATAATTTTAAAAAGAATAACATTTTTAAGGGAAGGGAAAAAAATGATAACTGAGATAACGCCGTATTCATTGACGAGACATGGCATAAACGCCAATCACACGTTCTCCTATTCTTTAACAGATGATCCCTAAGCGTCTACGTCGAAAGTACCAATGGGCAAAAGAGCCCAGGTTATAATATGCCACGTGCCATAAAACGATTTCGCAGAGAACGGCTGACTGGTATTTGAATCAAAAATCACTACTAACTACCACGAAGAAATGAATGCCGCCACATTTAAAGAGTGGTTCCAGAATGCGCTATTGCCAGGCCTGCCAGAGCCTTCCGTAATATTAATGGTTAAGAATAATGCCTCTTATCATTTGGTACAAGTACAAAAAGCACCTACTCAAGCCAATAGAAAAGAAGAATTGGTGGCTTGTCTACAAACAAACAGCATTGACGCAAATATGCAAATGCTAAAATCAGATCTTATCAAATTAGTTAAAGACAACAAGCCGGCAAAAGTGCGTTATGAAATAGATGAATTGGCTCTGGAATACGGTCATCGCGTTCTCAGAAACCCTCCCTATCATTACCAGTACAATTCGATTGAGCAAATCTGGGCTCAAATTAAAGTTTACGCAGACCGGTAGCATTCTCCGCCATTCGGCACAAAAAAGATGATGAGCCTATTAAAAAAAGCCTGTGGGAAGTTCACAAAGATGCCTGGGCGAAGGTCATCGTAAAAACGACAAATATTATTTTCAAAAACTTTGACAGAGATATCAAAATTGATACTATCATTGATAGTAAAATATAAAGATATCATTTGATAATAAAATTATATATGTAGGCAAAGATGATGACGAAGACAACACTTCCTCAAGCGAATCGGAATCGAATTAAATTTGTTTGTTGGTCAGTCGCAACTCTTTTTCAAGATATTGTTAAATTTTTTAATAAATGTTTCTTAATATTATTATCGCATTTTTATTTTCTTTATTGCTTTAGTTACATTCAGAAATAAGAATTCAGACAAACAAGTAAGTAATGTAACTTAAGTTACTTTTTTATTGGGTCAGTTAACAGTAAATAATAGTGTTATTTCCCATCACTAGTCATGAACAACTGACAGACGTTAGTATGGCATTCTTTCGTTGGTCGCACTCAATTTGTTTTTTTCTAAAATAAAAGTAGCCTAAGTTACTCCTTATAACATCAGCTATCTGCTATTGAAAGTCTTGTCAAAATCGGTCCAGTCCTTTCGGAGATTAGCCGGAACAAACAGACAAACAGACAGCCTGACCGACAGACAGACAGTCAGATAATTTTTTTTATTGTTATTTTGTTATAAGTATCGTATATACTTGCATATGCATTTAGATAAAAGCTGTAATTTTGACATTACAATTAGTAGTATAAAGTATATGGTATAGTTATAAATTATAAAATTATACAAAACTAGTTGCTCCCCGCGACTTTGCTCGCGTGTTAGGGTTGTTATGTTTTTGCGTGAAGCCCTAATTCTTTTTCTAAAATAAAATTAGCCTAGATCACTCTTTATGAAACCTGCTATCTGCCAGTGAAAGTCCCGTCAAAATCGTTCCAGCCATTTCGGAGATTAGCCGGAACAAACAGACAGACAGACAGACAGATAATAACTTTAAAAATTGTATATTAGTTATAAGTACCGTATTTACTTTCATATACATTTAGTAAAAAACTGTAATTTGGACATTACAAACAGACACTTCAATTTTATTTATTTGTGTAGATTAAAAATAGATATTATTTTTTACTAAATAAGTCTTTAATTGTTGTTGTAAAATTAATAATTATACTTAGCCTACATTACCCTACTTCAAAATTATGCACGTTTGCAATATTTGTATAATATTTTGCTAACAAAAATAAAAAGGTTAACAATTTAAAAAAAAATCTCTAACAAATTGTATAAAAATACAGTGTATATCAAAATTGATTATGCCTATTTCTGTGTATGTTATTTTTTATATCAATAATCGATCGTCTATTTTTTTTTAAAATCAAATTGCGAATATTGGCGTCACTTTTCACATGTTTTTAAATAAATTAAAAGTTTAACAATGGAGGCGGAAGAGGATTTTGTAGGTTGCATTAGTTGCATGAATAAAAAAGATTTATGCGACCTATTTGCTGTTTACGCTAAAAATGAAGAAACCTACGCGCAAATGTTAAAAACTTGTTTTGATATTAAGGTTATGTTTACATCTATTATTTTTAATAATACATCTTGATATTATTTTGATTTGAATTTTTAGTAGCAGTATATTTTTTTGTAAGAATCAATTAACATAGAATTGTAAATAATAATTATAGGTTTCGTATGATTACAAATTTATTTGTTCCGAATGCGCTGAAACATTGGAAAAAGCCGCTGCTTTCAAAAATCAAACCAGTAAAAACTTGGCAATGCTGCAAAGTATTAAAGGTATTTTAAAATTATCTACTATTAATTCAATCTTACTTTGAAAATTATTATTTACTACGTTGAAGCAGTCCGTGAGTCTACGATTATAAATGTTATATTGGTTATGAAATGCAACGACGATCTGTATCTAGTGTATATATTATAATGTGTGATGTGTGACCATCGTTTTTGGTTATCCTCACAGCTGAAAAGAAGGACATATTATGTAATATGTATATCCTTCAGTCACTATAGTGTAATTCCTAATATCAGGCGTTACTTTATGGAAATTTAAACATTAATAACATGTAAGCTCTCTGCCGGTAAGTTTTAGCGGTTAGCCATGACAGAGTCTAGGTATTTCTCCTAAGTTATTCTAGGTATGATGCCTTGTTTGAAGCGAAACAAGTTTCGTATTGTAGACGGTGGCGTGTTTCCTAGTGTAACGTTGGAAATCTGTTAAAGAGAAGAGAGGTATTGATGCTTCTATAACTTTAATTAGACTAAACCTTATTATTACATATTATATTGTCGTGGAGGCTATACTACACTAGTAAATAGGCTATACATTAATTGGAGTGGTGTTGGGTTTTGAAATTTATTCATACTACCAATTGGTTATAAATATATTGCGTAAATATAATCTCAATTGGTGAAGTTGTTCAGAAGGTACATGGTCACACTAACTGTTACCGTTACAGCCTATTAAAGCCCACTGCTGAACATAGGTCTCCCCTACAGTTTCTCTGCTTAGGGGGAAATTTGCCATAGTTGCCACGTTTGGCAAGCGGGTTGGCAGCCGCTGTTTTTTATGTTTAGTCGTTATTAGGAAGACGCAAATGTAGGGTCGCCTCTTACGACACAAACGGTATGATATGTGGTAGTGGATATTTTTACACCGCTACTACACGGTAAACACAATTTTATTTATATGTATAAATGTATATATTGTTATTATATAAATACAAAGTAGATAAAGATTATTATATTGTACATTATAATATAAAGCCGCGTATCGATTATGCGCTCCAAAAGGTCGAAGATTGGCGCGCGTTCCAGCCGCACGAAATGGATACCGCCTTGGAACGCGCGCCAAATAGTTCGTTGGAACGCTCAAACGTGGAGCGGGCCGCTCCATCTGGTGTCGGTTTTTTATCGCGCATCAAAGAAGTTAAGTTTTCGCGCGCGTGCCAGTTGGGATAGGTGTTTTCATCATTCGTGTGTTCGTTGCGTTCCGAGGTAGGGATAACCAGTTGCCGTAAATTGAAAAAATAATATGGTTCTAAAATAACTGCTGTGGAATAGCAAAAGTCGTTTTTATCATAATAAATCACTCAGAGAAGATGCATGGAATTATGAAAGCGGCAGTTATCCGTACACGACCGACATTGGATCGTCCAATATGGAATTGAACGATCCAACACTGGAACGGCTGCCGCGCGCGCCAGGCGTGCTTAGTTGATACACTTCGAAGCTTCGAACATTTGAAGGCGCGTTTCGCGGAACGCAATGGTCGGTGCGGCCATGAATGGCGCGCGCGCCAGGAGCGCGTAATCGATACGCGGCTTAATAGTGCATTGTTCTGCCACGTGAAAAACATTCGAGAATGTTTAATTTATATCATCAGATGAGGAATATCTAGATGAATCATTCCTGGAAGAAGCAGAAAGTGTATCCTCAGAACAATGTAATTCCAATAAGAAATCGACTAAGACACATAATGTAGCATCTAACTGTGACGACATTGATGGTAAGTCCTATCTTTCATATATTGCTTTTTATATTCATTCATTCATCTCAATTATTTCATATTTAAGTAACAAAACACAAAAAGTTATCATTAATAGTAGGAGATATTCTCGGCCCGTTTCTGTTTTTTGTATATATTAATGACTTACTTAGAAGGGGATAACCATAATATAGTATGGGTGTTATTTAAATGGTTAGCATAGTATACATGTTTTTGTCAGCAGAGAAATGTAATCTAGCAGCAGAAATAGTTAATAATTGGTCAACAAACAAACCATGGCTAGCAAACATTACTAAATCAATCGGCAATTTTTGATATTCTGGACGGCTGTAAATTATTTAGCATATGAATTAAATACCCACATTTATAAAATTTTGAGCACTTAGAGGTTAGAGGGTAAGCAACTAATCTAATTTTGTGCCCCTCCCTCCCCCACCCCCCGCCCACCTATTCCCCCCGCCGGAGGTGCGTATTTTTTATATTAAATGTTAAATATTAAAAATTTTATTGAATGATTTCTGAGCAAAATGGCCTTAACAGGGAGGGATGGGGGTATCCCTCCGCCAAAGCAATACCAAAGCGTAGTCGAAGGAGCCCCGCTAAGCGAAGCTGAAGAATTTTCGGTTCTCTACACTCTGTCATTCGAAACACTGCAGTAATATGCTACCCCGTTGGACCTGTGCTCAGCAGTGGGACGTATTTAGGCTGTAACTTCATTTTACAGAAGATATAGACGAGGACCACAAGATCCAAGCACTGGATGAAACCACCTGTATTTACTGCAACGTCCAACTCCCCACCGCTGACGAAATAAATCACCACGTCCGCGTCGTGCACGGCCTCGAGCCGAAAACTGGGAGGCGAATTCGGGAATGCTCTTTATGCGGTGCTTCGTTGAGGGATCTGGCTGATCATCTTAATAGGTATTACATGAATCTTTCCTTCTAATTTTAAAACGCATTCGACTTCTTTAGGTTCCTGTATTTTATTAATGAATTTCATATGGTCCCGGGTTCGAACTAGAGTGGGGCCAAATTCAGTTATTAGGTTTTACTGTCAAGAAATTCTCAGTAGCAGCCAGGAGTCAATAGGTTGGCCGTGTTCCATTCCCGTGCTTCGGAAAGCGCGTAAATGCGGATCCTATGCCTGATCTCTCCCCGGCCATGTCCGGACATGTCATCTGACTATAAAAGTGAGGTAATAGAGAGAGCACCTTTGCTTGCGCACACAGACGTTTCGCAATTCTCTCTTGCGTAGATGGCTTTTTAACGTTGGTTTTTATTATTTTGAGGTAAGGATATTTTTTTTTATAGAATATGGGTGACAAACGAGCACACAGTCCACCTGATGGTAAGTGTTGCTGTGGCCCATAGACATCTACATCTATCTTCGTTTGCGAATTAAAATGCAGATGCATTGTCAGCCGTGAGGACTAAGATAGTATGCCTCTTTTCCAGTAAAATAAATATGTCTCCGGTTCTCTACACTCACCATACGAAACACAGCAGCATTAAGCTACTATTTTACGCTGGTATTTTGTGAGAGCGTGGTCCTTCCCCGGTCGAGCCGACCCATTAGTGCTACAACTATACTATTAATATAGCTGCAGCATGCCTCTACCACGTATTCGTGGTACATGAATTATGTGCTTAGTGCTTAATAAGCGCTAAGCACGTAATCCACGTGATGATAGGTGGATGCTGTGGTCCATAGACAACTACATCTCTGAAAATCAATTGCTGTCCGTTAGTCGCGCTAAAACTCAAAAATGGCTTTAATAAAATTTTGAGTCGGTCCCTGGATGATTTAAATTCAAAATTTTACCCGGTAGATGGCGCTGTTGTTGAGTTCCAGAAATCACCCGTGCAAAGTCTGGGCGGATCGCTAGTCTAGTCATCGGTATTAAAATGCAGATGCATTATTACCCCTGACGACTGAGATGGAATATGCGTTATATCAGTTAAAAGTCTCCCGTCTCTCTCCATCTACGCTTCTATTTAACGCTGATATTCTGTGCGAGCGAGGTTCTTCAATGATCGAATAAAAGTAACTATGAATCGTAGTGAGCCAAATTACAATCGGCCAAGCTTCCAAGTCCAAACATAGAACACTACAAAAGCATTGTCATTTCTTAAGAGAAGAAGACGTGGCAAGTTTATGATAACTTAGGCATACTATCAAGCCGCGCATGTGTGCGAAAGCTTTCCCGTGGCCTTGCCAATATGCTGCGATATGTGGAACATCATGAGGTTTGAGTCGATGCGAGTCCGACATAACCCGTACTTGCGAAAAAACATGCCTTTACGGATTGTGTTTCTTCTTAAACGGTTCCCGTATAAGTTAACTTCTGAACATGGGCTTCTCTCTGGACTGCAGAAAAGTGGAGACCCTTTTTACTGGAAACGAGCCATTCCACTTTAGACCTCAGGGGTGACAACCCATTCTGTATTTTTCAGCATCCACTTTCCATCAGGTAAACTGTGAGCTCGTTTGTCACACTTATTCCATAAAAAAAAACATGCGTGAGTGTAGTATATTATTATTGATAAACGTATTATATTATTGATTAACAAATACAAATAAATGAATTACTAGGGTCTATTAAAATGAAGCGTCATTTAAAATAAAATAATATTTCTTTCATGGCAACATGAGAAAAAGTGTGAGGGAGATGGGTAATATTCCATCTCGCTTCATTATAGCCGCCAAGACCGTCAGAAGGGGTCGTGACGGAAAAATCTTACACTTTTCTCGCCTAGCCCCCATCTGCCAAATTCGTACTGTCCGATAAGGAATTTCGTTCTAAAAAATCTATCTTTAATAGATATAGGTAGGTGACTGCAGATTACAGCATCCACATACAATGAGGGTATCCACGACTTTTTCTGCCACCAGGGCGGCGCCACTTTACAGTGAGGATATCCTATATGGGACGATAATTTCTTAGGAAAATGTCATCTTTAAGGTTTTTTTCTGTATTATTAGTTATATTTTATATTATTTACATTAGAAATGAATAAACCAAACTGTAAATATAACTAAAAGGCGTTTTTTTTTAAAAAGAATTATAAAGTGCACAAAATTAACAATTTAAATTACTGACCCATTGTGTTGTGTATTAATATAATACTCTAGATAATGATAAATTATTATTATTTAAAGCGAATTTCTCAATTAACTGACACCGTGTAACAATAAACATTACCTCAGTCACAACTAGCGACATCTGGTGAGTGGAAGATTATTAGCCCTCATTAAGTGGACTGTGTGCCCGTTTCTAACCATTACTTCCATTAAAAAAAAAACTAAGCAGGATGTTATAAATGACTTTAGATGCCACAACACGAACTTGGAGAGAGAAGAAAGACAGTACGCGTGCCATTTCTGCGACAACGTCTACAACAGCAAGAAGGCCTGCTTCACTCATTTACGGATGAAACATGGATGTAAGAACAGTTATTAAATTTTTTACGTGGTAGAGCCATGCTGCAGCTATATTCTCGACCGGGGAAGGACCGCTCTCACAGAATATCAACGTAAAATAGCAGCTTAACGTTGCTGTGTTTCGTATGGTGAGTGTAGAGAACCAGAGACCCTTTTTACTGGAAACGAGGCTTTCCATCTTAGTCCTCAGGGACAACGCATCTGTATTTTGATTCGTCATCGAGGATAGATGTAGATGTCTATGTGCCACAGCAACCACTTACCATCAGGTGGACTGTGTGCTCGTTTGTTACCCTTATCATATTTAAAAAAAAGTTATGTTTATTTATTTAGAAGTCCGTGTGGGTAGGGTACCATCTAAAGCACTGCTTTACTCCGGTTTAAAGGGTCAGAACCATCTGTAACAACGCATCTGTAATCTTTCGTCGTCATTTCTGAAATTCTCGAGCCAGGTTTGTGTGGTTCGTTCTATGTGCGATGTGACCAGGAGCAGAGTTTTACTGGAAGGTCCGAGGTACATTTTAAAAAGTTTATATCACTAAGAAGTTTCACTACATGATCCAAATAGCCTCTTGATAAACATTTACCTGTTATTATTACAGACTATTATCCACTGCTGAACCCCCCACCTCCACCCCCCATAGATTGCCTCATCTCAGGGGGAAGACATTTGCCATATTTGCCACGATTTTTTTCTTTTAAAAAACTACCTCCACACTACGATTTTCTTAGAATCGCGGGGGCAGTTATATAGGCCAGGGCATAGATTTCACAAGGACAAACATCCAGACCTAAATCAATTATTTGTAGGCCATACAAATACTTGTTCCGTGCGGGAGTCGAAGGCCCGCGGCCCTTAGCGCTGCAACTCATTGCTAAGCCACTGGGCCACGTAGCTGTCAATTTCTAGTATATAATATAGTATATTTAGACAATTCTTCATATTGCAACAAAACTACTCTTATTATTCAACGTCTATTTTGTAACTCTCTTTCAATAAAATACAATATTTTTTAAATGTACTATATTTTTATAGGTTATGAAAACATTGAATTTTTGTTCGTATTTTATGCCTATTTAGTTTTAGTATTTATAATAGTTTGCTTACAAATACTCTAAGTCTAAGAGATTGCGCTAAAACTGTTAACTTATTGCTTGCACTTGCGCAGAGGTTATAGGTAATTATTATACGGTAGGGGGCGCTCGTATTGTACCGATAAATTTATTTGAAAGTTATACATATATCATCGTCATTATCATTCCTAATTAAACAATATATCTCTTACAAATTTAAAATAATATTTACACAATTATTTCTTCTGCAGCAGCAACGCGCAGTCAGCAGCCGAAATAATATTGGCAACCCTACCTAAACATGAGATAGTTCTTACAATTATTTATAATGTTTATTTCTGGCCAGCAAAGCTGAATATAATTTCGAACGACACCCACAAGACGAAAGGGATAATGTACCTATACTCAATACATGATGTCTTTCATCCCTTGGGTGTCGTAAGAGGTGACTATGGGAGATACCAGAAAATCTTATGACTCCCGATAGATGTATGAACGTCCCACTTTTAGGCACAGGCCTATTCTCATTTCTGAGAGGGTTTTAGGGCTAGGAAGTGTCCGCCGTGCTGCTCAATGCGTGTTAACTTTACATCTCTTCGATTTTTCACACAGTAAAACATGCAGACTCTCTCACGTTGTTTTACTTCAAAACGTCAACGTGGTAAGTCAGGACTTAAAGTTAAAATGGACCATTTCATTGGCGCCGGAGGGGATCGAACTCGGTCTGCTCGCGTACTGTGAAATTTACAGTTCATAACCACTGAGCTAACAACGTCCAATAGATAGTAATATAACCATCTCGTTTAAAACACCAGATTACCGTTATCTTTACAGCCTAATATAATCCACTGGTGAACATAGGCCTTCCCCATAAATTGCCTCATAGGGGGGATATTTGCCATAGTTGCGCCGCTTGGTAAGCGGGCAGGAAGGAAGACGCTGCTGCCAATCTCTTGATTCGTATCAGTCTATAGCCTCTTACGACAGCCACGGTATGATATGGAGCAGTGGTTATTCTTACACCGCCACTACACGGCCCAGATTGGTGCGAGTAAATCTTTACCACCAAAAGAGAGCCCAATGCCCAGCTGTGGACTTCACTTCACTTTGTGTTTCATGCAGTGAAGCTGTGTAACGATCACACACCCAATTATTCGTCGAGTGACCGTAAGAAGTGTCACATTTGTCAGCGCGACTTCAGCCAGAAGCAGATACTGAACAATCATCTGTGGAAAGCCCATGGATACGAGGTTTGTACTTAATACTTAGAAACAAGGAATCATATAATTTTTTCTATAGGATAAAGGTCTTGTCAAAGCGAGCACACAGTCCACCTGATTGGTAAGTGGTTGCTGTGGCCCATAGACATCTACATCTATCCTCGTTTTCGAATCAAAATGCAGATGCGTTGTCCCCCGTGAGGACTAAGATGGAATGCTTCTTTTCCAGTAAAAAGGGTCTCCAGTTCTATATTCACCATACGAAACACAGCAGCGTTAAGCTGCTATTTTACGCTGGTATTCTGTGAGAGCGTGGTCCTTCCCCGGTCGAGTCGACGCACTCGTGCTATAACTATATAATTAATATATCTGCAGCATGTATAAAAATGTTATAGAATAAAGATGTTAATAATTTGCTAAGATCTAGTTTGAAGAGCACTTTCTGCCCACCCTCAATGGCGTGGATTATCTCCGTCACTACTAATATCAGCACCACTACTCCCACCACCACTACACTATAAAAGACACACTACCTTTGATAATACGACACGTGTTCCACTCTGCGGTAGCTGACCGCTAAGTGAGCGCTTCACAAGTCCACTGCTGGACATAGGTCTCCTCCAAGGAATGCCACAAAGCACGGTCCTGAGCCACCTGCATCCTACCCACACTTCACCTACCGGTACGAGGCTGCCACTCAAGAACCTTTCTTCTCCATCGGTTGTCGGTTATTTGAGCTATATGGCCGGCTCATTGTCACTTCATCCTACTAATCCGTTGGGTTATATCGGTTACTCTGGTTTTACTTATTTCTAAGTTTATCACGCAAGGAAAACTGAGAATAGCCCCCTCCATAGCTTAGTTCACTTAGTGACCATACTCGTATGTAGTTCCTCATACGGCCAGTAGTGAAGGACCACGTCTCAGATTCATAGTGAGCGAGTTATTAATGTTATAGGTATTTTTAGTTCTGGCGGCCCCTAGCGGCATTTTTGAATTTGGCAGCCTCTAGTGGCATCAATGCTCAAGTCCTTTTTTGGCATAGGAGTTCATTGGAATAGATTTGCTTTTTATGAAGCTAAGGGACAAACTATATTATGGTTGTTGCACGAATGTGTGGGTTCAACCGGGGTAGGACCACGGTACCTACCAGCCACCAGTATATATTTAAATCAAGAAAGAAAAGCGCCTAGGGAAGTGATAGGAATAGGGAAAGTAATCAATTACACTCTTATGGGGAAATTTTGAAGTTAATTGCTGTTTCATTTCTAAAGGATCTTCCACTACCTAAAGTACACAGTCCACACCGTAACGGACGACTGGACCGGGACCACTTCAAGATGACCCGTAATCTTAGTCGTCTGACCTCTCTTTTCAGAAAGGGGCTTCAGGCGCTCTCTTGTGATACTCCTTCACGGAGTTCACATCCACCTGGTTGCGTCCGAACCCAACGTGGTGTGATTTGAGTTTCGGAAGAAGGTACCAGCTGAAGGAAGACCTCTCAGTTGGCCCTTTTCTGCCGAATTAATAACTAGAGCGGGCTGGCTATCTTTTAATGGTAGGAACGTAAAATAGCAGCTTAATACTCCTGTGTTTCGTATGGTGTGTGAAGAGTATTTTAATTTTTAATCGAGTATAAATGTAGATGTCTATAGACCACAGCATCCGGTGGACTGTGTGCTCGTTTGTCATCCTTATTCTATATGAAAAAGAATATCCTTGTTAAAAGTGCAAAAATGTATACGATTGCCAACAATGATAGGTGGAGAAGCGCAAGGCTTTCTTCTGTCCACTCTGCAACGAGAGAGTTAGCTACGGTACCAACTTCAGCGCACATCTTCTGCATCGCCATCAGGTCCGAGAACAAGTTGAACAGCTCGAGTTTAGCAGTATGGATGGTGAGACACCTTATTTTTTTAATCTTTTTGTATTATAATATATTCTACGACCTGCTCTCCGCGACTTCGCTCGCGTGTTAGGGTTTTTATTTTTTTGTGCGGAACTCTGATTCTTTTTCTAAAATAAAAGGCTAGCTTAAGTTACTCCTTATGACATCAGCTATTTTCCAGTGAAAGTCGCGTCAAAATCGGTCCAGCCGTTTCGGAGATTAGCCGGAACAAACAGACAGACAGACAGACAAAAATTAAAAAAAAATGTATTTTAGTTCTAAGTACCGTATTTACTTTCATATGCATTTAATAAAAAACTGTAATTTTGACATTACAAACAGAACACTTCAATTTTATTTATTTGTATAGATGTATAGATTACTTGCAACCTGGCCTAGCTTCTTCTGGCTTGTATCAATTAATGTAGGTTATTTAGGTTTAAGGTTATCATCGAAGACCATTTTTATAAGTTTTTAGAAAAATAAAGTTATTTTTTAATAAAAACTAGACAAGATAACAAAAGTTTCATCTCAAACAATTTAGTCATTCCGAAGATTAACCCGGACAGACAGACAGACGAAATTTATAATCAAATAGCTGTTCCTCGCGACTTCGCCCGCGTGTAATTTAGGGTTTTAATTTTGTTGCGCGGAACCCTTATTATTTTTCAAAAATATAAGTACTAAGTAGACTAAGCTAGGTACTTATACGAGGGCGGCACTGAAAATTTCGGGAATCAAGGAAGTGACACAACATTACTATTTATAAATGTATTTATTGCTTTTCGAAGTATTCTCCGCGAAATTTGACACATTTTTCCATACGATGGAACCAATCATTGAAGCAACCATTCCATTCGGAAGTTGGGGTCTCCAAAATGGCCGTTTTGTAGGCGTCCACAGCTTCTTCAGGTGATGAAAATCTCTGTCCACGCAATTTATTCTTTATTTTAGGGAAAGTATAGAAATCTTTAGGGCTTAGGTCGGGGCTGTACGGCGGATGGTCTAATAATTCTATGTTTTCTTGCTCTAAAAACTCTTTTGTACTGTGTGCGGTGTGAGAACTCGCATTGTCGTGATGGAGGATGATGCGGCGGTTGCAGTTCTCTTTACGGAGTTCAGAAATGACCTGTGGCAAACAAATGCTAGCATACCATTCTGCATTAACCGTTCTTTGTCCCTCAAGAGGAATAGTCGTAACATGGCCGGTTTTGGAGACAAACGTGGCCACCATTTTTTTTTGCAACACTCCGTAAACGAACAATTTTTGTTGGCTTTTTTAACTTTTCGAACACCCAAACTCGTGACTGGTTTTTTGTTTCGGGTTCGTACGCGTAGATCCAGGATTCGTCACCTGATACGATGTTGTATACAGCATTTGAGGATCCTGCGTGGAATCTTTCAAGAGTTCTGATGCACCAAGTAACGCGAGCCGCTTTTTGCTCTTCACAGAGCGAATGCGGTATCCATCGGGAAAACAACTTTTTTACACCTAATTGTTCATGCAAGATTATTTGATTTGACTCATGCCAATGTCTAAAGTTGCCTGAATTTCGCGGTATGTCACATGTCGATCTTCCTCAATCAGCTTACGCACAGCATCAACGTTTTCTTGGGTGACTGCAGTTTTTGGACGACCTTGACGGGGATCATCACTGAGCTTGACACGCCAACGTTGAAATTCAGCAAACCAGCGATAAATTGTGGTTTTGGATGGGGCTTCATCACCAAATGCAGAAATCATCCAATCAACACACTGTTTTTGTGTTAAACCACTTCGAAAGTCATAATAAATCATCGCTCTTGAAGTTTCTCGAGTCAATTCCATTTTCTCAACGACTAAACAAGTTTGACAAAACCTTGTGAAAAGACCGAGAATCTTTTTTTAAATAAATGAATGGTATTCGTTTTTTAAAACGAAGGAGTTTTCAATTTAAAAGATTTTAATATGACAGGAACAGTGGAAATATTCCATTCCCGATACTTTTAGTGCAGCCCATGTAACATGAGCTATCTACCAGTGAAAGTCCCGTCAAAATTTCTCCAGCCGTTTCGGAGATTAGCCAGAACAAACAGACGGACAGACAGAGAGACAAAAATTTAAAAAATTGTGTTTCTGTTATAGGTGCTGTATATAATTTTATATACAATTAGTAAAAAGCTGTTATTTTGACATTACAAACAGACACTTCAGTTTTATTTATTTGTATAGATATACCCGTATATCTCTAGATAGTATAAAACAAAGTCGCTTCGCGCCGTCTGTACGCTTAGATCTTTTAAACTACGCAACGCATTTTGATGTGGTTTTTCATTTAATGCCATAATAATTCAAGAGGAAGGTTTATTTGTTTATTCTTTATTGTGTTACACCTTAATCTAAGGATTACAATGGGCGGACTTAATGCCATATGGCATGTGTACTAGAGATGTTACGAAGGTTCGATTCCGATTCCGAAAATTCCGACCTTCCGATTGATTTTGCACCTTCGATTCCGATTTCGTTTCCGTTAAATCTTAATCGGAAGTTATATACCGGAAGTCGATCCACAGTGGTGGCGGCGGCCGCGATCAGCGTGTACAGACAATTTTATAATTGTCGCCCCGAGAACCTCCCTACCCCCGTGCCTTCTGTCGATTACTCTTTAACTTGATGTTTTCTTTCGTATTTGACACATCTCTTCTGCCTCCACCTACGATTCCGGTTCCGATGTCGGTTCCGGTTCCGACAAACAAAATTTAAAAACTCCGCTTCCGAATTCGGTTCTGATATAACCACTTCCGTAACATCCCTAATGTGTACTATGTGTAATTATATACAAAATTCTTCTGTCCGTGTATATGTGACTGAACTCCTAAACGGTTGAACCAATGTTAATGAAATTTTGGGTGTGTAATTAAGTTGTTTCGGGAATGGTTTAGATTCACAATTGGCCCCGGTAGGTGGCGCTGTTATCGAGATGCAAAAATCAAACGTGTGAAGCCGGGGCGGATCGCTAGTCTCGATTTGAGTGTATAGATATAATAGGTCATACGTCTGTCTGTTAGTGGTCGTGTAAATCGAAAACTTGACCGCTTATGATCATATTCGCACAATGCAGGCTTATTTTTCAAAGAGTAGCAAAATTTTAAGCTTAAGTTCAGATATATAAATAATGATACTTATAACATTATTGCAGTTATTGAAAATACTATTAAATAGGCCCTCTACTTTCATTTAGAATTATCCCAAACTGAATGTGATTTACGGGCAACAACGTTTTTGCCTACTGATCGACCCTTACGAATGTGTGCGTGCGCAGTAAAATAAGTTAAATAATGCATTACCACGCAAGTTGCATTTAAAAGTTAAATGGTACAGAATGTTTGAGATTTTTTTTATTAATTTTTCTTCACCATTTGCCTATAACTACTGTTCGCGACGGCTTAAAGACTTTAAAGAAAAAAGTGATGAAAGAATATTGTTTTGTATAAAAAGTGAAATTACCAACGAAATCGAGCAAATTGTGTATTAATATAGTTTTACAATGTCTTTACCACTCTTTATATATTTGTATAGAATGCCGTTTTACTAATAGTTGATATAAACAACTTTAAGCATTTAAGAAAAATTCAACCAATCACAGCGCATCATATCGTAGAACTTTCTGGAAGTTTAATTAACTGCGCAATAGTTTGTAACTGAAAATAATGAGAATATTTTTGTGTTCTAAAAGAATTGTAAATATGATATTTAGTTAGCATATGGTATATAGATTACGATAGTAAAGAAATAATTTGTATAATTAAACGCATTTGATAGTTATAGAAAAATTAAAGAATTAATGTACCCATTTCTTGTGAAAATTTGGTACATTTCGTTTAATAACTTTTTTAAATATAAATATATTGAACAACCTTTATCACATACTGATAAAGGACCTAAATGCCTATTTAGTGTAACCATTAGTGTTGTATAAAAAATATTGCAATTTATGCTAATTACATAGTGAAAATGTTTAAAAATAAAGAGGCAAAACGGAAAATGGCAAGCGGCTCACTATACAGTATAGCCGAAGTCTACCTTATGGGGGCGAATCCCAGTAACGTTGTAGTAGGAAGAACTACCAGTGACAAGCAGTAGTATCCGGTAGTAGCTGAAGTGACTAGTAGCAGAACATAGTGAACAGTAATAGTGAATTAGAAAAAGTTTAGCTAGCCGAAAAAGATCGTAACTGAATAATCGCAGTTACACATAGCCGAAAAAAGTGGTAACGGAAAATTCGCCGTTACATATAGTGAAAAGTGTTAGCTAGACGGAAAAGGTGGTAACTGTTATTCGCAGTTACACAAGTGATAAAATCAACTAGTTTTAGTTGATTAATAGCTGCTAGTCAGTAGTGTTAGAAAACCAGCTACTACCAATAGATATTTTGATACTACCAATAGATATTTTGATACTACCAATAGATATTTTAATATTACCGCACATTTTAATTGAATCTTTTGAAATATATAGTGACCAACCGATAGTGAACAACCGTATTTGAACAACCGTGTTCAACAACCGTGGTCAATAAATAAATAGTTATAAAATTTGGCGACTAATTAATCAGTCGAACCGCTGGCCACTCCCTCGCTATTTGAATTTATAAATCGTGCATTTTATATTTGAACCTCAGTCCACAGTTTTCCAGCACACACACAAAGACGGTAGTGAACGTATCCTCCGGAACCTATAGGTGTAGAACGTGAGCGACTCGCGGAGTATCTTCGACAAATTTACTCCGGAGAGTTACGCCCGTCCGGCACATTCGCTGGTCCTTCGAGCCGGATACTTCATCCGTTTGTATTTCGGAACCGGATACATAGTCACTACCGTATTAAAGTTGCAGAATTTTCAGAATCAAGATGCCGATCACTCGTTCGCAAGGAAGGGGAGCCATGGCGTGGACCGTCGGTCTGGAAGGAGGCCGGTCGGACAATACCGACGCCGTCCGCCACCAGATGCCACCACGCTCACCATCGACA